ATATATCTGATGTAGTCTACACATAAAAAGGAGAATGGTTAACCGCTGGGTTGCCCTTTCGAAAAATACTAGGTGAAATAAGTAAATACAACAGAAACACATCAGAGAACATGTAGCTTTGATCTTACAAACTACTTTCGATATTCAACAAATAGCGCACTGCAATCGACGAAAACGAAATGGCATAAATAAAATGTGCCTCTGTTCCAGTCAACTCGTAATATAACAGTAATATCTACCATTTTAAATTATATTCAGTATATTATTACAGATTTAGTTTTATCTACTTACATAAAAGCTGTCCTCACTAAATTATTATATTGAACATGCTTTATCTACTTTACGACATAGTTATGACAACTGCATTAATATCTGATTCTATATCACATTTGAATTTGACTTTAAAATGACAGTATCAAGCTGAATCTATAATGCCTTCTAGGGGCTGCCAGCCATGTATTTCGAAGGTAGCAGATGCTCGTGATGGGTTGCAAAGATATAATATCCACAAAGATATCGCCAAAGGGTGAACCGATTTTAGGCAAAGTGTACCGAAAGCGAAAGCGAATGTTGAACATCTAGAAGACATCAGCCTCAATCATAATTGATGTTATGTATATTACCGAAATACTGTTTGCAGTTTAACTTATGTAAATACGAATTTGAAGATCACAGGGAGTTGCATAGGCGGAGATGAAGAGATCTGTAACGGCTTAAATAGATAAATAAGAAGGATTAGTCGATGTTTGACTCGGAATCTCAAAGAGAAATTTGTCGACATCAAGAGCCGCAAAACTAACGAAGTTTTACATTTCAAAGCAAGCAGGAAAGTTATAGGTTTAATAATAACTTGTCAAGAGAACGGACATTGCAAGTTACGACTATCTGTATTTTGGTGCATCTAGTGGGTGGAGAAATCACATATTAGATTCGATACTGATTGGGAGTTCGATCGATATCATTTGTATTATATTATTCACAATTGAATGCACCAAGCGTTATAGATCAGACAAGATTTATGATTTTCCAAAAAATAATTATGAAAATGATTTTTTAAACTAGTTGGTTTGGTATTTAGCCTTGAGGCAAGTTACATGAACTTCCCGATATGTTTAAATAATCGACTTAATCAATAAAAAATAAATTAATTTATGAGTCATTAAAAGTATTCCGAGTGGATTTATTACACATAATTGAAAACGAACGAACACTTTGACTCGGAGTATTTTCTAAAAACAAATTTTCAAAAATCAATAATTTTTATAATTGAACCAGTTTCCAGGACTTTAATGGTATATTATGTTCAAGACCAAAGACTATCATTATACCAAGTAAATAGTCTAACTTTAATTTTAACAAATGTCAAAAGAACTACTCATTTTCTCAAATTTTGATGAACTTTTAAAATCAAATTATTTGTCATAAGGCCGTAATATTTCAGTAAGTTCTATAAGACCATGGTATATATCGTTAAAAAAATCCATAAAAATCGGTTTAATTTTTTTTTTCAACAGTTAATTAGAAGAAAACGGCTCGGTAAATTTTCACCTAAAACTAATCAGTACCATTCCCAACTAATATCTTTCGAACAGTTTTTGATTTTTTAAAATCGGTTCGGTAGGATGAGCTTAAATTGCAAAGAAACAGTTTGGCTGATCGTCACACAAAACTGACAAACGATAGTCCTCACCGAAATACATCAAATGGATTTTAAATTTCTAAAATCGGTTCAGGCGTTTTTGAGAAAACGTTGATCAAAGGTCTAATTTTGACAAATGCCAAAAAAACGATACCAATTTTTGCAAACTTTGACGAATTTTTAAAGCTGAACCAGTTGTAGTATTAATATTTTAGTATGATCTAGAAGACTATGGTATCTACCGTCAAAAAAATAATCATAAAAATCGTCGAAATTTTTTTTTTAAACTTTATTACAAGAAAACGGCCCGGCCGATCTCTACCAAAAACTAATCAGGTCGATTCCCAACCAATATCTTTTGAACGATTTTTGCATTTTTAAAATCGATTCAGAATTGCGGGCTAAAACGTGGACAAAAACTTTTCACTTCTCTGCTATTTACGAAGAAACGGACAAACAATAGTCCTCATAGAGATACATCGAATGGCTTTTAAATTTTTGAAATCGGCCCAGCCGTTTTTGAGAAAACGGCGATTTACGGCAAAAAATCTGTTAGTGCACACGCACACACACACATACTTCTTTCCAAATTTGGTCTCATTAGATTCAGAATAGCTTGAAACGTCGAGAAAACATAAAATTAGCGAATCGGATTTTTTGATGAAAACATAAACTTCTCCTTCGGGAAGTTAATTATCACAACCATAGACCTCGATAAATGGCTTATTTTAAGTCGGTTTATTCTAATTTCTAATAATCCAATGTAAATAGACAAATAAACAAAATTTTGATTGACAGAAGCAAAGCAGTATAACAAATCAGAAAATAGTTTTTTAACCGTGAATAAAGATATGTCTATATTAAAAAAAATCTATGAATCTAAAAAACTATGTTCATCAAAATTTCCAGAAATGTTTTTTTTATTTTTTTTATAAATAGTATCATCTGTACCCCATAAGCGGGGTAAACAGGTGCAGCCAAAGGGCAAACAGATCCAATGATTTTTTTTTAATTTAAAAGTGATTTAACAAAATAAAAGCAACATTTTTTTACAAAGATCTCATTGTATATAACCTTGATCTGGCAATTCGAGAAAAGTCACCCGCAGAGGTCAAACTATTAATTTAATTTATCTATTGTAAAGTAGTATTTGTTAACTTCTTTTACTTTTTTTTACTATTTCTTATTGTTCACATTTATGCCAATGCAAAAAATTAGTTGGTATTCTAGAAAATAGTCATATAAAGAAACTGTTAAAAAAAAAATTATATTAGGGTGTTATAAACTAGAACTCAGAACCAGAAAAAACTACCAACGAAAAAAAACTTTTGGTATGCATATTGATACATTTCCATTTATCTTATGATAGCGACTTTGTTAGAATTAAGTTGATGGCTGTATACAAATCTGTTGCTCTCTACTTTAAAATAGTATCCTTAAAAAATTCTATACTTTGCTTGTTTTTGATATGACGATGATGAACCATGTTATCCCTGGACCTTTAAGCTCTGCTCTATTTGCGGATAAAAGAATAGAAATTTATTCTACAGTTTTTTAAAATTACATAAACATAAGCATGTTAGATAGTTATTGATAGGCTTTATACCATAAAAAATTAGTAGTACTAGCTGTAAACAAATTATATCAGATACTTTGCATCCCAGGGATAACCACAAAACTTTATTTCTATGTTGCCATTCTTTATCTAGTTGTTGGTTTTGCAATTTAGGATGAGAAATTCTAATTAATTAATTATTAATAAAAAGTCACAAGTAAATAAATAGTGAAAATAGTGTATTTAATAGAACTCTCATCATTGAGTGATTCACTAGCCTAGGACTTTTAGACAATGCATTTATAATCTTATTCTTATTATAATTTTCAATAAAAAGCCAATAGAGTATTTGAATGATTTCAAAGTTGCCAGTAGTGTGCCATATTGAAAGATTTGAATAAAGTCAGGAAATGACTATACTTATGTATTTTGTGTAATTTTGATATTTCGCGACGTTTGTAGTTATTACTCCATTTTCATATTAAGTCGCTATTACTTCTTATTCAAAGCTTGCCAATAAATCCAAGCAAGAGAACGTTGAGACTGAAACAATATCGTGCAAAAATAAAGAAAATGATTACTTTGCAAGGAGAGAAGATTCAAATAAAATCCAATTACAAAATAAAAGCATGATAATTAACAGCTTTCTCAATAAGATCAAAAATATATATGTATCAGATTTTAATTAAACGCTAGGTAAAATCTGAATGTCAGCCAAATAGGCACTCAAGTAAGCGCCGAGGTAGAATTTTCCTTTCGAAAACGGGAACGCCCACTCATATTTCCAACATATCGAGATTGCGATCTGGATTAGTATCGGTTCCTTATAATTACCTACATTTCTACGTGTTTTATTTATAGGCGGCGGCCTCTGATATATTGCCCGACTATCTATCAATTCATTTAGTATAGATTCATTCTGATATATTGGATAAGCTGGTGTTATTTCTGTAACTGTTCTTAGCCAAAGTACAATTGTCGATTGGGCGTTTCCTTGATAATTGAATAAGACTATAGCAGGTCGCAAGATTTTCATTAATAAATAAATCCGTTTCTACAAAATAATATTGAAGTAAATTGTTATTGACTTGTACTTCGATTTGAAATTATGATTATTAATTTTTAAATTGAGATCTTTATCAGTATCCCTGTATCCAATTACAAATTGACGTTTAATTAAAACTTTCGTTAGAAAGGCAAATCTAAAAAAAGAATTAAGCGACAGTGATCAGAAAAAGCGATAAAAGCGAGGCAGATTTTATTATTTTTATTGAGAATTAGTTTATTTATCTCGAGTATTTTATTATTACAAAGGTGCGGTCAATTAACACACATCTTATTTTTAAAATGGCCTTCAAAATGATCTTGAGATAAATTGAAGTTTAATTATTTTTCACTGATATTTAAAAATATTTGAATTAGAAACCAGTGCAATTAGAAATCATTGATATTTCAGCTAGAAATATCATTAGAATAAAAGTTAGAAGCAAGGAATCCTTTCATATCTTGTCAACTTCATTTAATTTGTTTATTACATTATTACCAAATTTTTCTTTGTATTTAATTTTTGCGATTATCTATGAACGTACATGAATTTGTTTTATAAAATTTCATTTTGGATTCTGTTATAATTAAAGATAGACCACAGTATTTAGATATCTTGCTGATTTCACTAAATTATTCATTAATAGAATGAGAAGTATGTTCAATGTTTAGCGTTTAATTTAAGTAAATACTTAATTTTTATACACACAAAATATTCGGTGATTCGATGATTCAAATATCAATTAATACAATTGTACTTACATGATTTAGATGCCTTGATTAGATTGTACTTTCATGCTAACAAAAGTTACCTGAAATAGTAAAAAAATATAAATTACTTGATGTACATATACTTAATATTTTATGCTAATTTTTTTCATACGACTATTATATTTCTCTTATTAAAATAAAAATACTTTGCATTATTTATTCAGTTATCGATGTAAGTTCTTTACGCTTTATGAGAAGCAACTGTCATTCACTTTAACTTTAACATAAAACGATTTTCTAAATATTTTTAATTACAAAAAAAAACAAATAAATGTTTGAAAATCTATGACAAAAGTATTTTTTCGGAATATTAGTTATTTTAGTTGTGAGTACTGTTGTTTAGTTTATGAGTTTTTAATCTATTTTTAACTTCCCGAAGGAGAAGTTTATGTTTTCATAAAAAAATCCGATTCGCTAATTTTATGTTTTCTCGACGTTTCAAGCCATTCTGAATCGAATGAGACCAAATTTGGAAAGGTATGTGTGTGTGTGTGCGTGTGCACCAACAGATTTTTTGCCGTAAATCGCCGTTTTCTCAAAAACGGCTGGACCGATTTCAAAAATTTAAAAGCCATTCGAAGTATCTCGATGAGGACTATTGTTTGTCAGTTTTGTGCGACGATCGGCCAAGCCGTTTCTTCGTTAATAGCAAAGAAGTGAAAAGTTTTTCGTCCACGTTTTAGTCCGCAGTTCTGAATCGATTTTGAAAATTCAAAAATCGTTCGAAAGATATTGGTTGGGAATCGACCTGATTAGTTTTTGGTAGAGATCGGCCGGGCCGTTTTCTTGTAATAAAGTTAAAAAAAAAAAATTCGACGATTTTTATGATTCTTTTTTTGACGGTAGATACCATAGTCTTCTATATCATTCTAAAATATTACGGCCCTACGACAACTGGTTCAGCTTTAAAAATTCGTCAAAGTTTGCAAAAATTGGTATCGTTTTTTTGGCATTTGTCAAAATTAGTCCTTTGATCGACGTTTTTTCAAAAACGCCTGAGCCGATTTTAGAAATTTAAAAGCTATTTGATGTATTTCGGTGAGGACTATCGTTTGTCAGTTTTGTGACGATCTGCCAAGCCACATTTAAGCTCATCCTGCCGAACCGATTTTAAAAAATCAAAAACTGTTCGAAAGATATTAGTTGGGAATGGTACTGATTAATTTTAGGTGAAAATCTACCGAGTCGTTTTCTTGTAATTAACTGTTGAAAAAGAGTGTTAAACTTTTCGTCCACATTTAAGCTCATCCTACCAAACGGATTTTAAAAAATCAAAAACTGTTCGAAAGATATTAGTTGGGAATGGTACTGATTAATTTTAGGTAAAAATCTACCGAGCCCTTTTCTTGTAATTAACTGTTGAAAAAAAAATTTAAGCCGATTTTCATGGAACTTTTTTTGGCGATATACATCATGGTCTTATAGAACTTACTGTAATATTACGGCCTTACGACAAATAGTTTAATTTTAAAAATTCGTCAAACTTTGCTAAAATATTATCTTTTTTTTTAAGTAGGATTGATGAAGTATATTATTTACACATTTTTTTTTATTAAGTCGATTATTTACACATATCGGGAAGCTCATGTAACTTGCCTCAAGGCTAAATACCAAACCAACTAGTTAATTTATACGTTATGTAATTTTTTTACAAGATGTATTTTTAATTTTAAATAAGATTCAACAGTTTTTTTTATATAACTGAACTATGGCAAAGGTATAGAAAATAAAATAAATAGAAAAGTAATTTAAGTTGAAAAGGCAATTAATCAGTTAATCCAACTCTGCTGATGAATATTCCTGACAAAATACCAGATCAAATTTATATACAGTGTTATAACCGTAAAAAATGTACCCTTAGAATTTATGTTTTACATTGGATCTATAAGTGTGAATAAGATAAGTGTTACAAGAGTGAATGTGAATAGTTCATCTCTCCATAAAACAAACTATATTAAATTGCCGGTGATAATTTGATATTTTATATATGTTGCGTATTATATGACTTATACGAAACGCAAAACAAAGAGCAAAACGCTAATAACTAGCGATAGCAACAGCAACCGGTCCTCGTAGACCTATAGCTCTTAGCGGCAACCGGCAAGTGAACGATATAAATATAAATACTGCAGCAGAACTCCTGTATTATATTATTAGTTCAGGTTTACACGACGCGACGCCGACGATAAAAAACACAATTTGCTCGCGGAGAAAAAATTTATATCTCCAAGTTATGTTTTAATATTTCATTAAATATGAATATGCTAGAATGGTTTATACAGTACAGAGCAGAATCGGTAAAATTCGAAGTCTGTGGAAAAGATTTATGAACAAATTCAAAGTCTTTATCGTATTTCCTTAGATCACATTTTCAAAATCATTTTATGACCAATGTAGTACAAATTAAACTCAGTTTTGGTAAAATGCAGCAAATACGATCATAATTTTAGGCAATATTACAGTGCATCTTGAGTACGTCTCTAATTCACGTAAGGTACGTTACGTAAGTGAAGTAAAGTTAGTAGCAGTACTCATATATAAAAAATTAAAAAACATCCAAATGAGGTATTGAGACCAGTTTATAAGGTACCACGTTTCAAAAGCTCGAAGGACATGTCTCAGCCTTAATTAGATGGTAACTCAATGGAGTGATTCTTTGGAGATTTTTTTTTCTTAAAAATTTTAATATTGTGATCTTATACAATTATATTATTTTGATTGCTATTCATAATTTAAATAAAAAAATAATAATGATATATTCTTGTTTGAGCTTCACTAAACCCATAAGTTTTAGGAAATATTTTATGAATTGTATGTAGTTTGTAGAAATTAAAATCGTAAAAGTCTTCAGCTTTTTTAATTTTTGTATTTTCACTCCGTCACTAAAGAAAAATTCATATTAACAGGTGTGCAGAGTAAAAAACAGAAGGTATGTAGATACCTAGATTAGTGAATTTTGATAAATTGGAAATAGTTTTATTGTAATGGCTTCATCAAGAACGAGCTTTAAAATAGCGCATAATAGGAGATGAACGCAAAATTGCTGGTGGCTTAAAAGATCACTGAATTTTGGAATTTAAATAATTGCCTTGATCATTTTGAAGATGTATAGAATTGTTGCAAACTTACGCACACTAAGATATATTTAATTATTTACTTCCTATATTAATGATAGATAAATCCTATTTTTTCAATTGAGAAACTTTGTGATAAAGCAAGTAAATCGAACATAGCTATCCTGGTCTGTGTCTATTCTGATGGATCAAGTTTGTTATTGAACCAATTCCTGCTATCGCCAAGCCTGACATCGGGCAACTTTGATGTCGAATTTCCACTTGAGGTTATAGATCTCAAATATAGCCTCAAGTGAAAATCGCCTCTCGTGTGTATAGTTGCATATATAATAAAAAGTCATTTCGTATAATACTTCGCGTATAGATAATTAGTCATAACTGAACTGGACAACTACTGAGTTGCCATCCATTCAAGATCCATATAATAAGAAAAGTCAAAACAATTGCTGAAAGTCCTAAGTGTGACAGATTGTAATTAAAATAAAAACAATAAATGTTATTGAACCAGAGAAATTCGAAATTTTGTATTATGCTGAAAATGTTGTAAATGCTAATGCGTCAAAATATTTTTCTCAAAACCAAATAAGTGAATCCTACAGGTCTTAAGCGGAGGTTGTACTCTGTTACTAAAATTTAGTACATTTTTTTTATTTCGGCATGAACTGTATACAATATAAAAAATAACCGCAAATAAAACTTCAAACATTTAGATTTAATATTCGTTTTTATGATGACCGCAAGCAAATACCAATATTTTTTTTTGTCAAATAAAAATACAAAATATGCTTATAACACAACAATTTTATACACACAATATAAATTATGCGTGATATAATGTACAAAAATAAATCGACTCGATAAAAATCAGATGCCGCATCCCCATCAATAAATTTTCCGTCGAATTCAACGGTCACGCATAGAGCTTTGACCCTATCGGACACGAAAAATCGCTACAATTAACGTAATCACGTCAGATTAAAGCAATAAACTGAACAGCTTAAAATTTACAGCTCTTATATAGTGCGATACCTATTTTGTGAATTGTCGCTTTGTTCAACTTCCAACCTGTCTGAAAAAACGTAAAGGGACACAAAAAGTACACAGTAGCAGGACGAAATTTATAACGTTCACTAAACTTTTTATGCCGGGACAGCACTTTTTAAAAAAAAAATGGAAGCAAACTTTGGCAACACAATATAATTAAATGGCATTGCGTGCAAGACGAAGGCAAAATAAATCATTCTAGCGTATACAATCAATTAAAATTTCATAAAGCCTATTCCTGCATTTGAAATACCATCAACCACAAAATTTAGATAAAGCATTACTATATCCTCTGTTCATTTTTTTATAAGTTTTGCGTAACTGACGTTAATTATATTATCCAAAATAGTTTAAACGAACACGAAAAAGTTTTGACAAAGCCAAGACAGTGATAAACTTTTTTTTAACTTCCCGAAGCAGGAGTTAGTTTTCATGGAAAAATCCGATTCGCTATTTTACGTTTCAAGCCATTCTGAATTGAATGAGACCAAATTTGGAAAAAGAATGTGTGTGTATGTGAATAGATTTTTTACCTTAAATCGACGTTTTCTCAAAAACGGCTGGACCAATTTCAAGAATTTAAGAGCAATTCGACATATCTCGATGAGGATTAGCGTTTTTCAGTTTGTCAAAAGTTGCTTTTGGGATGTGATGAAGTCAATCAAGTTCCAATTAGAAATGAATTTGGAAGTAAATGAACAGCCTACAAAACTCCCCTAGTTTTGTAAAAAATAATTACCATTCATTTAAATTATTAACCCTTTCCACTCGCAAATTCCAAAATTAATATGAATTATGCCACCGGAGTGGAATTTCGATTGCTTAGGTTAATTATTATACCTGTTGAGAAGCTTTTGCAACTTGCCTTAAGGCAAAATGCCACTTTCAACTAGTTTTATTTCTTTCATTATTAACAATCAATA